CCTGGTTACCCATAAAATACACTCAAGGCCTGGTTACCCATAAAATACACTCAAGGCCTGGTTACCGTTAAAATCTATTCGAGCCCTGGTTACCTATCAAATCCACTTGAGGCCTGGCTACGCATGAAATCCACTCAAGCCCAGGTTACCCTTAAAATCTATTCGAGGCCTGCTAACCTATTAAATCTACTTGAGACCTGGTTACCCATAAAAGGCCTGGTTACCTATCAAACCCATACAAGGCCTGGTTAAGCATGAAATCCACTTAAGGCCTCGTTAAACCTGAAGCTCGCAAGATATATATATTCGGTGTGGTTACCTATCAAATGACTGTTAAGAGTTCTTATTTATAACTATTGTGTGTTTCTAGAAGTCTTCCAGCCCAATGTATTCAGCAGTACCAGTGGCATTAGCCCTCTAATACCAGCACTAGGGATTTTACTGCCTATCCTACTGGTCATCATGGTCATCTTGCTCATCCTCATCACAAAGAAAAGGAGAAAACTCCATCAATCACAAAATACAACCCTTTCTGTGAGTCATCTAATAGACTCTTGAATAGCTTCTGCTTTTTGGACAACATAATATATACCTTGCACATAGTAATCAAAGAATGTCTATCATGCGTTGAGTGAGAAATACGGTACCAAATTGCAGCGCCCATAAAGTATCGTATTTCACAGCGAGAGCACCACTCCACTAGTATGTTTCCATAGTAACAGTCCGCGCTAATTTACTGTTCTTTTTGTTTCAGCTGTCCACTTCAACTTCATCGCTGGCTCAGAAGAATATTAAAAATGTTGGAATCAGGAATGAGGTATGAATTTCAGTGATAATCTAATAAGATGCTTTACTTACCTCCGTGACCGAAGGGTGACTGTAGCGTGACCAGGATAGTTTTGCCTACCACTGTTCCCATTGGACAAAGCGCAATGTTTGGTTCCTATTTTGTCAATTGTTCGTGACATTGGTATGGACCGTAATGCGTGACAGTGACCATGAAAATAGCGTGACAGTGACTGCGAATTAATCACAATTTCTGTATCAGGCAATGAACGTGGAAGAGTTCCAGGATGAAGCCATGTATCTACTCCTAATGGGCATTAACAGAGACTGGGAGATACCACGTGATCGACTAAGAATAACCAATCAGAGACTAGGAGATGGTTGCTTTGGCCTGGTTGACAAGGGAATTTACACCAGGAAAGATAACAAGGAAATGTTTGTCGCTGTTAAAACACTGAAAAGTAAGAATAATCATTGAATGTTACTTTTATTATACCGTGGTCTTATCTAAGTCAGGACTTGGTTAACTGACAGATTAAACCCCGAAACAACCTCTGGGCTGATCTAAGTCAGTGCATGGTTAACTCAGAGAATAAATGGCCTTATGTAGTAGTTTAGACACTAGATCAGTACAATTGCTAATAACTACCTCTAACAACACATGTATCCTGTCCAGACCCATGTACCCATACACACCGAGATGATATTCTTGCTGAGCTTGACATGCTCAAACGAGTCGGCAGACATCCTAACATTGTATCCTTGGTTGGTGCATGCACGCTAGATGGTAAGATCAAAACAGATTATTCCTTCTGATTATATCAGTCTGTGGTCCGTTTAGTCTGTCGGTAGTCTATCTAGTCTGTCTGTGGTCCGTCTAGTCAGCCTGTAGTCTATCTAGTCCGTCTGTGGTCCGTCTAGTCAGTCTGTGGTATATCTACTCTATCTGTGGTCTATCTAGTCCGTCTGTGGTCTTCTTATCTGTCTGTGGTCCGTTTAGTCATGTCTGTAGTCTATCTAGTCTGTCTGTGGTTCGTCTAGTCAGTCTGTGAACTATCTAGTCTCTCTGTGGTCTAACTAGTCTCTCTGTGGTATATCTACTCTATCTGTGGTCTATCTAGTCCGTCTGTGGTCCGTCAACATTCTTATTTCCTATATTTTTAGATCCTATTTGCATCATTAGTGAGCTGGTAGAGGGGGGTAGTCTGAATGACCTGCTGATCGAAGCTCGTCTACCAGCAATCAAAGAAAAATCTTACGAAAACATCAGATCGAGGYTAACCGAGAGGGACCTGGTAAAGATGGCCGCTGACATCACAAGAGGAATGAAACACCTCCACGATAGAAACGTAAGAACACTTGTGGCACCACAGGTAGCCCAAGCAATATAGTGGCTTGTGGTGATCTTATTGAAACTATCTATAAAAAAGGACTATTGGCTGTTTGTACGTTACGTCATCGCCGCCATGTTGGTGGTATCTAACGAAAGATTTGGTATTCATTGTTTATGCCTCCGACATGGCCGCCACTTTTGATTCGACTATCTTTGGAATGATTGCAAACTATGACTAAAAGAATTAGGATCTTTTTACAGTTGTTTGTTTCCATTGAATCTAAAAAAGATTTAGTCTTGAAATGGTTTTGTTTCTTGGAAGGTTATTAAAGATGTATAGTAAAGTTGTGCATATCAAACTTTAGTCGTTAAAATAAACTTGTGCTTCGTGTTACCATCATTTCTATATCCATATTTCATAATCTTACCTTCTTTGGAAATTATTTTGGTGATTTTTCCGCCATTTAAAGCTCCAAAATGTCGAAAATATGAATGAAAACTTGCAGATATCACAGCGAAGAAATACTGTCCGCCATCTTGAATCTAGATGAAAAACGTGGACTTTGACAAAGGAAGCCCCACACCACAGGGATCCCACACGAACGACCATTTAAGTTTGATATCCATGATTTAGGCTCTAGTTTCCTTTTTAAGCTCTTTTTAGTCCTCAAAATGGCCAGCCTTTTTTCTTTCTTAAACAGCAAGGTTCAGTACTTTGGAGAATAACAAACAATATCATAAATTATTTATAAATTATCAATAAATTAATAAATTAGTAATTTTGTTTGTTTCATTTTTAGTGCATTCACCGAGATCTTGCAGCGAGAAATATTCTCATTGGGCCAAGCTTGGTGGCTAAGATAGCTGATTTTGGTCTTGCTCGTCACGTGATTGACGGATTTTACGTCAAACAATCACCGGTACGCATGCGCAGAAAGAGCAACACCACCAACAATAATGACAGTAGCTCTAAAAGGAATTTAAAAATAAATGAACATTCAATAGACCGTAGATAATAATGTGTTTAGTATAACGATATTTCATTATCTGAAGAAAGCAAGTAATGGGTTGCCGAAATATCGTCTTACTAAACACATTTTAATCTACGGTCTACTGGATTTTCATTTTCTTTTAATTGTTTAAATTCTTTTATCCAGTCAGATCTCATAGTGGTCCATCGCATACCAGCTTTTTTTGTCATTTGTGTCGTTTACGATAATTTCTCAGTAACAGCAACAAATGAATCGATTATACTTAGCTATTACTATACCTTTACCACTAAATACTGCACTCGCAGTATTTTACAACACACGCATGCGTACTACAATGTTACAATGGAAGTTTCTCGTATAAGTCCGAAGTGAGATGACGTTTTACCCCCGTCTCTAGACCATAATCCTTTTCACACTGCTTTTGTTCTTTAATTATGACTATTGTTCCTGTATTCTCTAAGGAATCAAAAATTTTAATATGAAAGAATTTTAAAAACTATTATGGTATAGAGTCGGGGGTAAAACGTCATCTCGCTTCAGGCTTATTAGCTGTCCTTAACTGTCTATCTTTCTTCAGGGAAAAGTTCCTTGGAAGTGGATGGCACCGGAGGCCTTGCAAGGACTATTTACAACAAAGACCGACGTGTAAGAGATCATAAAAAAGGCCTTGAAATTACCAAATCTGAGGTCGAGAAAAAAACTGGGTCGAATTGGTATTGCAATGCATTATGGGACTGTTGCAGATGACATATTTTCAAGATGGCGTCTATTTTGTTCTCTAAAACAGCCCCACAATGCAATGCAGTGCACACTCGACCCAGTTTTTTTTCGACCTCGAAATGCTTTTCCTTTTCATCTCACGTCAAAGGACCTCAAAGTAAAACTACTAGGATGCTCACTAATGTTAACTTATTTCATAGTTAATGGAGGGGAATGGTTAGGAAGCATTTTGTTATAGGTCTTTGTTCACTTTTTTCAAGCGTGGCCGTGAGCACAATCCTTTGTTTTACCATTGTTGGCAATGGCTGAGTGACAAACAGACCAAAATCTTTCTTTTGGCTGGTAGTTCAAGATACTTAAAGACAATTTTATAAGAGATATTTGAATAGAACAAATTGAACATTGTGCACGGTCAAGACTGATTCAACATCAAAAGCGAACAAAGACCTAGTGATAACAATAGGTTTCCTAACCATTCCCCTCTATTAACTATACTTATTTGAACATATTTCTGTTTGGACTAATATTATTCTTTTCGTTATTCATTTTTTTCAGATGGTCATTTGGTATCTTGTTGTGGGAGATTGCAACGCTTGGTAATCGGTTATTGAGTTTTTTCCTGGTTTTTTCTCTGACCACAGACACATATCTTTAGAGTTCGTTAACCTCTTTGTATTTGAAATTTTTTGGTTTGTTTTTGTTGAATATTTTCTTTCTTTCTTGGTACTTAAATACTTTTAATCTGATCGTGAAGTCTATAAACTACCCTATGTATCCCACGATTGTTAGAGTTCGTTAACTTGTTTCTACCTGAATATTCTTTTTAACTGATACGACAAAGTCTATAAAAATTTTCCCTCTATGTATCCCATGATCATTTAAGAGTTGCTAAGTGTTTTTGTATTTGGATATGATTTGCAGGTGATTCGCCGTACCCAGATATTACTCAGCTTGTCGTACTATACAACCTGTTGTCCAATGGATACAGGATGCCAAAACCACATCACTGCCACGAGATGTTGTAAGGAAAAAATAAAAAATCTTCCATCTTAGTAGAAATGACGTCACTGCAAAACTGAGGTCATGAAGCCTGAGAAAATAAGCCTGAAGCGAGATGACGTTTTACCCCCGTCTCTATACCATAATAGTTTTTAAAATTCTTTCATATTAAAATTTTTGATTCCTTAGAGAATACAGGAACAATAGTCATAATTAAAGAACAAAAGTAGTGTGAAAAGGATTATGGTCTGGAGACGGGGGTAAAACGTCATCTCGCTTCAGGCTTATTGACCAGCGAAAAGTAATAACATATCCACCTTCGCAATATGAATATAATCCTCATTTCTTGTGTGGCTGTTATCAAGTACTTATTTTACAACAGACCAAATTCAAAACTCGCACAGATGTGAGGCTTAAGTTGTGAACAAAGGGATCTGGCGTGACTCAAAGTAATCTGGCGTGATTCAAAAGTCACGAATCACGCCAAATTCCTTTGTTCACAACTATTATTAGCCTATTATTAGCAACGTTTTTGTTTTCTTCATTTGGTGGCCCGCAATTCCGTGATTTCAAGCGGAAAAGTGACACCTCAGATTTACAAATTTTCTCGATTGTGATTGGCTAATAAGACCGAAGACAATAAGGAGATCATATAGAAAATCAAAAGCGCGCCAAAAATTATCGTACTGTAGTTTTGATCTATTTTTTCACAGTTTTGTGTTAAATATATGGAGGACATTACTTTGGTCTTATGTATAAAAATATTCCCGATTTGGGCTCCCTGTGGATTGTGCTGTGTTCGAGTATTCTGATTGGATGAACGGTAAATTAGCGCGCTGCGATTGGTTCGATTAATGTCGTACCGTGTCGTGTCAAGTCAGACAGAATCTATTGTATATTTTGTTTGATACGATATTTATCATAAATACTTTGAAAGTGTGAGATGATGTTGTTTTTAACTTTCTGCATCTTTTTTTCCGAGGTATTCTGTCATGATGGAATGCTGGTCAGCGGATAGCAACAAAAGACCAGCATTTGGAGACATTTATCAAATCTTACAGAAAATGCTAAATGAGAAAGAGGTAAATAAACGACCAACAACCGACCGACCGACGGATTGACCGACCAGCCGACAAACCACTGACTGACCGACCGACCGATGGATTGACCGACCGACTGACTTAGAGACCGGTTGACTAATGTATATATTGATGGATTAAATTTTTGGTTCATTCATTTTTAGAGAATCTATATCAACCTCGAAGAGATGGACCAAGAAGAACTTGAACACCAGTTGTAACATTTCTACAGTACGACCTTTCATTAYTGCTGGTTTGCAATTGTTCCCAAGGAGTGAGAATGTACTAAAGACAAGGCGGCCATGTTGGATGATATAAGAAGATGGCAGCTATGACGTCATGCGTAAACTAATAATATATATATCAACGCATATATCAAGGCTTCATTATTACTTTGTATTACGAACTATTTATACTTATTGTAATAATATCAGATGAGGTAATATCAGCATTATTGGTAATGAAATAATAATGATACAATCAATACTCGGGCTAATATTTTTACTATACATTTTGTATACTGGAAAAAAAACGACATAAACATTAAATTGTAGAGACAAGAACTATGAACGCCATGATGTTGCGTGAAAAACGCAAAATTTTTAATTCAGAATTGAAATATTTCAAGAATTATTCATAAAATATATGAAAATAAGTTAAGGATTCCTTAAATAATTGTTTTTGTACATAATTCTGGAAATAAATACGCATAATGAATAAAAACAAAATTACCACAGCGTGACCTTGAATGAACTTAATAGATAATACATTTATCATGTCGAGTTCACACGATATCAGGGATTGGCTTAGGGCTCTCGACCAATCAGAATTGAGATACTTAGTAAAAGGTATAATAATATTTATTGTTTAGTTTTTAAACAAAGACGGCGGAACTGACGAGGGTACGTACGCCGACTGTCCTAATGCTGTCTCTCCTAGTCATAAAATCATGATGATGATGGAGATGGTGATGGTGATGGTGGTGGTGGTGGTAAAAAAAATGGTGATGATAGTGATGATAATGGTGATGGTAATGATGATGGCGATGATATTGATGATGATGGTGAGGATGATGGCTAATAACAATGGGGATGACTGATGGTAACGGTGATCATGATGGCTAGAGAGCTACTGGTTCTATTTAAAAACAATTAATCAATACCAGTATATATGATGTCAGGCCCACATGTGGACAGCCTCAATTAACACAGCATCAAAAGACCTTTTCGCCTTGGGAGTAATGTTTTTTCCATTTCAGACCACGTGTCATTCCCTAGAGTATCATTTCTTTGCTTAACAGTTGCACATGAGAAGACACATGAATATG